GCAGTGGGTAAGGCACTTGCCTTGGCTGTGGCTGTGGCTGACATGGGTTCTATCCCCAGCACCCCACGTGGTCCTTGAGTGGTCCCTAAGCGCAGAGCCAGAACTAAATCCTGAGCACAGCGTGCTAGGCCTAAACTAAACTAAACGTGACCTAAACTAATTAAATAACAAAGAAAAATTGTTTCGGGTGAAAAGTACTAAGGAACATGACAAGAACATGACAATAGCGCACGTTTCATTTTCCAGAAATTAAAGCTCTTCTGTCAGAGAGATGATAGCTCAAGTTGCTTTGCATGCAGGAAGCCGGGATTTGATCCCTGGCACTGCTTAATGCTACCTGCAAGCATAGTATTCTTTGAGGGCCACTGGGTGTGGCCCAAAACATACTGTCTAACATTCTAATAACACGGTTGAAGGTCAGCCCACAACATTTCGGTCTGTTCAGGTTATTCCACGGTGCAACGTTTGAGAATTACTGGGCAACGTTTGAGAATCCAACCAGATACTACCAGGTCCAACCTAAAAGCGTCCCTACTGGACCCAGTGGTGGCGGGAAACATGGTTGGCTTGCACTGGTAACAAAGTTATAAGGGATAGCAACATGATAATGGAACTAAGTAGCTCAACTTTAATTCCATTAAAATAACGTCAGGAAACTGGAGTAGTCCGATTACTGACAAAAGGGAAAAAACACACGAATCCAAGTTCCATCACTATTTGCTTCACTCTTGAGTGGCATCCAATAAACTCGTGCCAAGAGAAATGCCTTTTGACTCATTATTATCAATTAAATGCTTCAGGAGACCTCACAGGTGGTAGATTTCTCAGCAGATACCCCTTATTTTTGAAAAGCAAAAGTAGAAGACTGTGGTCTCTGCAGATCCCTTTGTTTTACCTTTTAGGTACTGGGGTGAAGTACCACACCCCCCCCTATCAAGCCATGGGGGAAGTACCACACCCCCCTATCGGGCCATGGGAGAATGCAGTGAAGAACAGATGATGGGGGCCCGGAAAGATGGTACTGCAGGGAAGGTGCTCGCCTCCGGGAGGCTGACTCGGTTTCCATCCCCAGCACTCCATAAGATCCCGGGAGTACCGCCAAGGAGTGATCCCTGAGCACTGGGGAAGGTGTGGCCCAAAGCACAAAAGGCTCAGGAATGGGTTCTTGGTTTGAAGCACACCCTTAACCACTGTGTCTCAGAATCAGAGCTCTGAGTTGCAGACACTTGAGTAGGGACTGAGATCTAACACCCAAACGCTCAACCCAGACTGCCTTGGATGTTCTCTCTCTGCAATGTTCTTCGCCTTCCCATCAAAACTTGCCCATTTGGAAGTAAACCGGGCTGGAAATGAAGAATAACTGCCTTGGAATTCTGAGACTGCTTTCTCTTTGCCCAAGTGCCTTTAGATGTTCCTTCCACACCTTGCTGGCTCAGAAAAACGCAGGATTCTCTGATACCTTCCAAACAGCGGCCCTTTCTCTGGGGCCAAACACTCGGAAGGGAGGGAGGGGACAGCCAAATCCTCCAGCCTCCTGCCTCCAGCCTCGGCCCAGATAAGCCTGGGAGACCAGGGAAAGGCGGGCTCAGAACGTACCTGAGCTCACCGCCAGGGGACAGCCCCTAGGTGCTCCTCTTTGTAGCTGGGTGACCTTGAACCACCACCTCTTCCTCCAAGCCTAATCCTCCTCCCCTCTCCATTGAAAGGCCTAGAACCTTCTTCCCGAACCACTAAGCCCTAAACTGCCACAATTACTCAACAAAACCGTAGCCGGCTCACAGTCTAAACGCGGCGCGCCAATCACCATTTTATCTCCGGATTCGCCCCTGCATCCTCATGGAGTTCCCCTCTCCATCCTCACCTCAGACACGTGGGATCTGAAAAATGCTTTGTGTTCTCCCAGTCGCTTCCGGACCACCCTCAACCTGGGTGGTTTTCCTCAAGGCTGCCGTGTTTCACGGCAACTCCCTTAGCATGAAAAGCGCTCGGGGTGCACGCTTTCCTTTAAACACGGGGGGCGGTGAGGTTCGGAGAGGTTGAGAAATCAGGCCAAAGTCACAAGCGGGGGCCCATCAAGAGAGCGAGGATGCAAGCCCAGCTCTGGTTCCAAATCCCCGATCTTTTTTCTTTTTCTTTTTTTAAATTGCATCCTTGCCTTTGAAAAGGCTTTCAATTCGGAAGGAGAAAAAGCCACGTGAAAGCTCACAAGTTCCCCCGAAAGGGGAAGAGCAAAAGTCACTGCCGCCTCAAACGCTAAGCGGCACCGACTGTTTCATCCTCGGGAAGGAAACACAGAGGAGGAAACAAGCGCCGGGAGCGGCGCTCCCAACGCGACCAGCGGGAAGCGCAGGTTCGAGCCTGCGGCACCCACTGCTATTTCAGAAGCCACCCTACCCCCCACGGCAGAGGCACCCCGAGAAGAAGCCTGCAAATGCCCCCCCCCATCCCCGCGGCTCGCCGTCCCGAGCCTTCCGTGCAGAGGAGATAGGATCCTGATCAGCCTTCCCATTCGGGGAGTCCCGGTTCCCGCGCCCGGACCTCATCCCTCCCCACCCCCCACCCCGGCCCTAATAATCGCTTCCTTTTTCCGTCCCGGTCCCTTTCCGGAGGTTCCGTCTCCCGCACCACGGCCGGGTCCAAGCCCGGTTTCCCGGGGGGGGGGAGGGGGAGTGCCCCCGCGCCTCGGGGGGTGCATTTCTCCGCCGGGCGGCCGGGAAGAGGTCACGCGGGGAGCCCCATGTGGCGCACACCCCTCGAACGCGCCGCGCTCTTCCCGCCACCGCCCCAGTACCCCGGGATCGGCGTGTGTGTGTGTGTGTGTGTGTGTGTGTGTGTTTCGGGGGGGTGCGCATTCCACCAGCGCTGGGTGGCGCGAAGGGGATCCCGAAATTGGGAGGGGGTGTCCCCGGCGAGGGGGGGAGGGGAGGCGCGAAGGTCGATCCGGTGCTCTCGGGCGGCGGCGGCGGCGGCGTGGCGGGCAGGGACCCGGCGGCGGGCGGGGACCACCCCCCGACCCCCCCCAACCTCCGACCCCCGCAGGCCCCACGCCGCGGCCCGAACCGCGCGTCGGAGCGAGGCCTCCGGCCGGTTCCCGAGCGCACGCGGCCCCGGCGACACCCCGGGACGGGGCCCGCGCGGGCGCCCGCATTGTTCAGGACCGGGCGGCGGCCGCGGCGGGGCCCGGGCAGGTGGCGGCCGCCGCGTGCCCTCACCTTTGGCGCCGAGCATGAAGTCGAGCGTGCTGTGCCGAGCTGCTGCCATGGCGAGGGGAAGCCCTGGGCCATGCCTTTGGGGGCCGGCGCGGGAGAGCGAGCGGCTGCGGGCGCCGGGAGTGCGGCGCGCCGGGAGGCGGCGGCGGGGACGAGGTGGGAGGGACCGCGGGAGCGACCCGGGGCGCGGGGGCGGGGTCGGGCCCGCCTCCGCGACGAGGAAGCGCGGCCGCCTGCAGCCCCGAACTCGGAGCGCGGGGTGGCAACGTGGGCGCCGCGCTCCCCCGGCGTGCGTCACCAATGGCCGCGCCCCGCGCCCGCCATCCGTTAGGTCACCTTAGCTGAAAACGGCGGCGCCGCACGACTTCCGGGGACCCACCCCCTACGCTTCCCCCCCCACCCCAGGACCCCCTCCCCCTTCCCCCCCCCCCGGCTCCCCACCCCCAACCGCCCGGCCCCTGCGCTTTCCGGGCCCTCGCCGCCGGGGAAGGGATCGCCCCGGGGCCACCCCTGCGGCCACCCGCGGCTGAGCCCTGCTCGCGCTCGGATGTCCACACATACACACACGCACACGCGCACACACGCACACACACACCACCACCACCCCCCTGCTCGTAGGGGATGGCCGGGCTCAGCTGCCCGGGGTTGCAGGCAAGCTCTCGGGCCTCCGAAGTTCCCCCGTTTTCCGTGCAAAATGCAAGGCAGGGGGGCAGCTGTGGCCCGCTGGAGGGTCGCGACAGGTGGCTCCTGTCATCACGCATGGCACGCATCGGACACGGATCAGAGTTCCCCCCCTCCCCCCCGCCACGCGAGCGAGCCTCTCCCCGCGGTGGTTGGTCTTGGGCACATGGCAGCTGCGCCTCCACGAGATGCGGCCACGGGAGGAGCGTAGGGGGGCGGGGGGGGGGTGCTGGGCGCCGGTGACTTCCTGATGTGCCCCCATCCTCTCACGTGCCTCCCGGCCTCTCCCGATGTGCCACCGCGCCACGGCAAAGGCGGGACCAAGTACGGACCAGGGAACCCGTGGGTCTCCGGCCAAGCAGAAGACCCAGCCACTGAGCTCCTCTCCCGCGGGCCTCCCACCCTAGGACCGGCCACCTGTTTGTTAGTTCTGCATATTTCCTCGCCTGGGTCTCCCTGGTTCTCAGATTGCTTTAGCTCGCCTGCAATTTCAGTCCCCCACCACTGTCCTTCAACCCTCAGCTCCTCTCTTTCTGGGGATGATCTCCGCTTCTCGCCAATTGAGGGGCCCTGTAACTGATTTAATTGACCCCCGCCACTCTCTTGAAATCCTGTATTGTGGCCTGCAAATTCTTGCGCCAGGTTCTGCACAATTTTGTCCCCTGCAAAGTAGGGAACAGCTCGTCTTGCTTCTGCAGGGCGCAGAATTTCCTCCTGAGGGAGGAGAGAGCTACCGAGTTCAAATCCCAGGACAAGTCACCAGGGTGGCCCTGATGTCCCAAAGGAGCAGTGGGCCCAGTATTTCCAGGAGTGGCCTCTGCACAGCCTGGGGGACCCCCGCCCCAAAATACAGATGGGCTGGGGAGATGACTCAAAGGGCTAGAGCAAGGCTTTGCTTGATGCTAGCAGAGATTCTATCCTGGCCGCACATGGTACCCCAAACAACCACAGAGAGCACTCCTTGAGCAACAAGCCAGGAGTAGGCCTGGAACACCATGTGTGGTCCCCAAACGAAAACAGTGATGAGAATTCTTGAACTTCCTCACCACTGACTGATGAGATAGCCAGAACGAAAATGGAGTTTAACAGAAAGACCATGATGTCTGCGAAATGTTGGGCATAAATGGGCCTCAATACGGAACCAACGTTACAACGATGTTTGTGAAGTATGTGTTTTCTGTGAGACACAATCCTGGTAAGACAGTTAAAGGTGGGACACAGGCAGGTATCAAGTTGAAGCCCCTTTAAACACGTCTGGTTGAGCTATAAGTAGACATTTGATTGGGGAACATACTCTCATTGCCTGGGGCTGATCATCTAGGCCCCTGGCTTCGGGCCCTGGGATAAAATAGATAATCATGTCTTGTGTGGGAATTGCTTGTGTTACATCTGCTTAGTGTATCCAGTGCAGCTGTTGTCCAGATATTTCACCAACTCATAACAAAACAAAAAATAGTAAGCGAAATATACCTAATTATAGCCTGCATTCTTGAAAAAGAACTAGCTACTCAAGAGAATCTTGGCAATGATGAAAATGTGGATAGCATGGGCTAATGTCCTCTGACCACTCATGTGTTCTTGGCTAAAAGAGAGAATTGAGCCAGGGTTCCAGAGAAAGCTGAGTGCATTGGAGCACACACTTTATGTGCAGGAGGAGCAAATTCAATTCCCAGCACTGCATGGTCCCCCTGAGCACCAGGAGTGACTTCCAGTACCACCAAACAGATCACCACTTTTTTAAAAGTGGAGTGGGATTGTTTGTTTTTAGGACACAGACTGACCGAGAGGACACAGACTGACCAAGACAAAGGCAAGGCCCCTAGGTTATCGTGTCAGAACACAGAGCATGAACCTTGTCCAACCCACAAGTCACCCAACACCCTCCAATAGCAGCCAATCTGAGGACCTGCGGACTCTCTCCCAATCACAGTTGCAATGGGGCCCGAACTCCCCTGCAAGACACCACCCAGTCTTCACCTGATGGTGATGTTACCCCAAAAGCACACAGTACCTACACAGCCTCCCTTTCTTTTTTGGTTTTTGGGGCCACACCCACCAACGCTCAGGGCTTCCTCTGGGCTCTGCACTCAGGCATGACTCCTGGCAGGGCTCAGGACATCAATGGTGGTGACAGGAATTGAACTCGGGTTGGCCACATGCAAGGCAAGCCTCCTATTTCTCTGGCCACAGCACCCCCTTCTGAGTGTGGCCCTGCCTCACAGTCTCTGCTGCAGTGCCCACAACTCCCCTCACTGGGCAGCCCACTCCCCTCTCTGCCAGAGAAAATAACTGGCTAGCTGCACTCTGGTTGGTGCACGGCTGGAGAGGAGTGACAACAATGGTGAGAAAATGAAGCCAATGCTTAGAAGAAGAAACCAAAATTGACCCTCTTAGCAGAACACCACTAAGTGTTAGGAGTCACTCTTAGACAAAACTTACTCTCTCAGGCCAATTTGGATATCTATACTCATTTTTTGCTGGGTTTTGTTTTGTTTTGTGGCACACCTGGCGGTGCTTGACTCTTTGCTCAGGGACCACTCCGGGGTGGCTCAGGGGACTATATGGGACCCAGGTCGGCCACGTGCAAGGCAAGTGCCCTACCTGCTGTAGTATCACTCTGGCCATAGTTTTTGCTCATTTTTCTATGGGGGTGTGAATTGAGGACAGGGGTTTGGGGGATCCTCTTGGTTCTGTACTCAGGGACCACTCCTGGAGTGTTCAGGGGACCGACCATATGGGGTGCCAGGGATCGAACCTGGGTCAGCTACATGCAAGGCAAGTACCCTAACCACTGTACTACCATTCCGGTCCCACATCTTTTCTTTCCTAAGTTCATTAGAGAGCAGGGCCATCCTGTAGTCACCAACAGTAACTACCTATTGGGAAGAAGGAAGCTTATGGGAAGAAACCTCTGTTGAAAAGGAGGTGACGATGGGTCTCTGGAGTCTTTGTTTCACTGCTGTGTTCTTTGCTTTCTCTCTGCTTCACTCAGGACCCTTAGAAATGCTCTGCCTCCTATGCACAGCTGTGGTGAAATCATTTCCTCTCAGAAATGCTGGCCTTCACTCTTAGGGTTAGCATGGCTGACAGAAATCTGGATCACTCCCATGCCATGTTTCAGATGAACGTGAGCGTCACCCAGCCAGTTAATTTTTACAAAGCATGTAACCAAGAGGGGCCTGGGCTCATTGACACAGTGATTCTCGACTTCAGCTGTGCACGAGATTACCTGGGGAGTCTTAAAACTTACAGCTGCTGAGTGCTCGGCCCTGACCCAGCGGCAGCCCGGGCACAGGGACTGGTAAAAGATCTACAGGAGCAGAGCCAGGAGATTCCAAAGCTAGGCCAAGATGTTGCTGCCAAACCCAGAAGCAAGCAGGACCCGTGAGAGACACCATTTTGCTTCGTACCCACCAAGATGGTTTTCATGCAAAAAAATAAAAAAAGAATTTTTTTAAAACCTCCAGATAACAAATGTTGGCCAGGATGCGGAGAAAATCAGAACCCTTGTATTTTTATGGCTGGAAATGCGTGCAGCTGCTGTGGAAATCAGTTTGGCATTTCCTCAGAAAGTTAACCATATGGGGACCGGTGGGATTACTTAACAGACAGCAGTGTATGCTCGCATGCAGGAGGTCCGGGTTTGATCCCCAGCTCTGCCAGGATTCAGTCGTAAGCACAGAAGTGAGAGTAGCTTTTTACCACTACTAGTTGTGCCCCCAAAACTGAAATAAAGTAACAACAACAAAAACAACATATCAAATGTTGGCAAGGGTGTGGAGAAAGGAAATGTGAGAGTACCAGAGAGAAAAAAAAACAAAGGATAAGGGCAGTTGCTTTGTATGCTGCCAACCCGGGTTCAATCCCTGGCATCCCATATGGGTCCTTGAGCCCAACAGGAGTGATTCCTGAATGCAGAGCAAGGAGTAAGCCCTGAGCACTGCCCACTGTGACCCCAAAACCAAATAAAAAGACAGAAAATTTGAAAACAGTTGGAATGTATGCTGGTACATCCATTAAGAAAAAGCCATAACCGATTCCTTTAAAAATTGACAAAAGAAAATATTGTATAAGATGGAAATCGTACTTCTAAGTTCACATATAATGCAAATGAAATATTATGTCATTTTTTATGCTGGGGGCAGCTGGGTGCTGGGGGTCAATATCTTGAAGAGAGATCTGTTCTCTCAAGCGTATCACAGCATTATTCATAATAGCAAAGATGAGAAAATAACCCATGTCGACAGAAAATAACCCTAGCACGAGAATGGATGAAGACAACGTGATGTATATTTTACAGTGCAATACTATTCAGCCACAAAAACAAAAATTCTACCTGCTGGAGAGCCAGCTTAAGAGGCTGAGTGAATGCTTCACATCCAAGAAACCTGGGTTTGGGGGCTGGAGTGATAGCACAGTGGGTAGGGCATTTGCCTTGCACGCGGCCAACCCGGGTTCGATTCCCAGCATCCTATATGGTCCCCTAAGCACCGCCAGAAGTGATAAGTGATTCCTGTGCATCGTCACGTGTGCCCCAAAAAGCAAAAAAAAAAAAAGAAGAAGAAAAGAAACCTGGGTTTGGTCCCCAGAGGCACCACATGGTCCCCATGAATGATTTCCAAGCCCCTGAGCACCAATGGGTATGACCCCAAAGCAGACAAGCAGATGATGCTGGAAGTGATATAAACCAGACACAGAAAAACAAAGACTGTATGATCAATATTATATGTAGAATCTAAAAAGTCAAACTTTGGCTATTCAGGGTGGGGGACGTGGTGTTATTGTTCCATATGAATTTCAGGAATATTTGATCTATTTATTTTAAAAATGTGATGACCTACATTAAAAAAAAGAAAAAAAATGTGATGAGTCTCCTTATAGGAAATGCATTGAATCTGTACAACGCTTTGGGGAGTATTGCCATTTTAATGATATTAAAATCACTTTCCCCAACTTTAAAACTGTACTACGGTAATAATTAAGATAACATGGTACTGGAATAAAGACAGACCCTTTAATCAATGGGATAGCATTGAATATCCTGAGACAGACCCTCAGGTCTAGGATCAGTTAATCTCTGATAAAGGAGCAAAAATACCAAGTGGAACAAGAAAAGTCTCTCCAACAAGTGGTGATGGGAAAACTGGCCAGCTACATGCAAAAAAAATGAGCTCAGACCTCTTTCTACCTAACACCATGCACAAAAGTTGAATCAAAATGGATTAAATACCTGGATAGCAGAACTAAATCCATCAGTTGCATACAGGAAAACATAGGCAGTTCTCTCCATGACATCGAAGCTAAAGGAAACTTCAAGAATGAAACCCCACTGACCAAGCAAGTGAAACACAAATGGGACTACATTAAATTAAGAAGCTTCTGCAGGTGACTTTTGGTGCCCTCCTCCCAGGCATCACCCTCCAGTTCCTGCTTGGATTTATTTTGTGCAACATGGTTGGAATGTTTCTGACACAGAATTATGACCTGCCAAGCCTGGCTATAAAAGCTGAAGACATTAAAGGGGGCTTGGAAGATAAGAAGACGCCCCCTAGGTCATGAGGGCCATCCCAGCACTGTCTTCTGGATCTGCTGACTCAGTTGCACTGGAGAACCCCCTTTACTATCTGAACCATTTGTTTCAACCTCCAGTTTTCCTGACATTTTTTACTTACACCCGACGATATTCAGGGGTGATCCCTGACTCTGCACTCAGGAATTACTCCTGGTAGTACTCAGGGAACCATATGGGATGCCAGGAATCGAACTGTGGTCGGTTGCATGCAAGGCAAACGCACTCCCCGCTGTACTATCGCTCCAGCCCCATTTTTCACAGTTTTCTTCTTTGCTAGACCTCGTGTTGCCTTAGAGCACAGAGTGGCCATGTGGGTACCGAATCACCCAGTGATCCCAGTATCTTCACATCTTCCGGTCCTCCTCCCAGGCCCTTGGAGCCTCAGACTGGAATTCTACTGCTAGATTAGTGAATGTGACCGTTAACAGTGACTTTTCCCTTGTTCTTTGGGATTCTACTACCTTTTTTTTAGAAGAAACAAATTGATGAGTTTTCAGTTACTGATTATCAGATAGAAGTAATACAGATTTTAGAGTTTGGCCACTATAATGGGTGTTTAGCCAGTCAATGCTAAATTATGTCATTTCAAAATAATTAAAATTGAAACCTAGAAGCCATTTTCTGGTGGATTATCCATTTATATTGTCAGGCAGTTTCCTAATTGCTCAGTTAACCAGTAAGTCAATTTTCTGTTCAAGAACTGGGGAATTGGGGCTAGAGCATTAGCACAGCAGGTAGGGTGTTTGCCTTGCACACAGCCAACATGGCCGACCCGGGTTCGATTCCCAGCATCCCATATGGTCCCCCGAGCACCACCAGGAGTAATTCCTGAGTGCATGAGCCAGGAGTAACCCCTGATCATCGCCGGGTGTGACCCAAAAAGAAAAAAAAACTGGAGAATTAAAAACTACGTTTTAAAAAAAGAAGCTTCTATACCTTGAAACAATGACCAGAATACAAAGACTGCTTGTAGAATGGAAGAAATTATTTACTCAACACTCATTTGATAAGGGATTAATATTAAAGATATATAAAGTGCTAGTAGAACTTTATAAGAAAAAATCTAACCCTATCAAAAAATGGGGAAAAGGAACTAGAACAACCAGTGTTGCAGCAAGTGTGGGGAGAAAGAAAATCTTATTCAGGGCTGGTGGGAATGCCGACTGGTCCAACGTTTCTGGAAAACAATATGGACATTCCTGAAAAATCTAGGAATTGAGCTTTCATTTCACCTGGCAACCCCACTTTGAAGAACATACACCAAGGGCTCAGAACAAAAAAGAGAAAAGACATCAGCACCCCTATGTTCCTTCCAGCACTATCCACTATAGCCAAAATCTGGAAACAACCCAAGCGTCCAAGATTAGATGACTGGATAAAGAAACCATGGCGCATTTACACAATGGAATACTACTCAGTCATAAGAAAAGATAAGCTCACAAAACTTGCTGCTACATGAAGGGACCTGGAGAATGGCATGCCGAGTGAAGTTAGTCAGAGGGAGAGGCCCACACAGAAGGATCACTCCCATATGCGGGACAAAAGGAAACATAATGGGGCAATAATGAAAACCCAAAGGCCATGGAAACAAAGAACAGGAGAACTGGTGTTCAGTAGGAAACATGTCACTTGCGGGGCTGGGGTAGAGGACAGGGAGGGGACAGTGTTTTGGTGGAGGAAAGCGTTCAACTGAGGGGAGAAGGTGGTGCTGAAAGGAGACAAAGTGCCATGTATTACACATACACACACAAATACACACACACACACACACACACATATATATATAAAATATGTGTAGCACTATAGCACTCTCCTCCCATTGTTCATCGATTTGCTTGAGCGGGGCCAGTAATGTCTCCATTGGGAGACTCTTTGTTACTGTGTTTGACGTATCGAATCCATCATGGGTAGCTTGCCAAGCTTTGTCGTGCAGACGAGATACTCTTGGTAGCTTGCTGGGCTCTCAGAGAGGAGCAGAGGAGTGTGTGTGTGTGTGTGTGTGTGTGTGTGTGTGTGTGTGTGTGTGTAGAGAGAGAGAGAGAGTGAGACAGAGACAGAGGCTGAGAGACCGAGAGAGCCTCTTAGAGAAGGAAACTGGTGGGTGAGAGGCAAATGGGGTGACGGGCAAAGGGAGCAATGTTGAAACATTTTATGCCTGAAACCCAATCAGGAATAATTGTAATTTCATGCTGACTAATTTTTTTTTCTTTTTGGGTCACACCCGGCGATGCACAGGGGTTATTCCTGGCTCTCATGCACTCAGGAATTACCCCTGGAGGTGCTCAGGGAACCATATGGGATGCTGGGAACCGAACCCAGGTCGGCCACGTGCAAGGCAAACTCTCTACCCGCTGTGCTATTGCTCCAGCCCTACTGACTAAATATTTTTTAAAAAAGAAAGAAGGGGCTGGAGCAATAGCACAACGAGTAGGGCGTTTGCCTTGCACATGGGCCACCCCGGGTTGGATCCCCAGAATTCCATATGGTTCCCCCAAGCACCACCAGGAGTAATTCCTGAGTGCAGAGCCAGGAATTACACCTGTATAGCCCCGGCTGTGACCCAAAAGAAAATAATAATAATAATAATAATAAATTTTAAAAAGAAAGAAAAAGTCAAACTTATGAATCCAGAAAGTATAATAGTATTTTCCTGGGGCTGGGGTAGGGGACATAAGTGATACTGGTCAACGTTCTGTACTCTAATGTAAAACAGGGTGACTATCGCCTCAGAAGTACCACATGGGTTCCAGGGTTATACTTAATAATGCTGTACTGTAGGGATCAGAGAGATAGTACAGCAAGCAAAACGCTTGCCTTATGTGCATCCAGCCTGGGTTCAATCACTGGCACCACGTTAGGTCCCTGAGTCCTGATAGAGGTGATCCCTGAGAACAAAGCCAGGAGTAATCTCAAAGCACCTCTGGGTGTAACCCCCCCCAAACAAAAAAATATATATTATACTGTATAGCCTTGAGATGTACTGATGGTATTCAGTACTCTAACATTTAAAAAAATCAAAATTTGTTAGATATGTGACGTGATAAATATATTAATTAATTTGATTGCGAATATCATATTACGGAATAACTGAGAGATTCCACTCTTGGGTAGACACCCAAGAGAACAGGAAACAGGTGTTCTAACCAAAGGATTACACAATGCTTATACAGCACTATTCACAATAGCCCAAAGGGAGAAAGAACCAGATGGCCCTTAACAGGTGATTGAATAAACAAAATTTCATTCAGCCATTAAAAGGAATTGAAGCATGAGTACATGCTACAACATAGATGAACCTTAAAACCATTGTGCTAAGTGAAATACGTCAGTCACAAAGGGATGAATAAAGACTGATTGATTCCATTTGAAAGATCCAGAACAGGTGACTCCATAAAGATGGAAATTCAGTTTAATATTTGCTAAGGGCTGGGGAGCTGAAGCCATAGTATAGCAGGTAAGGCATTTGCCTTGCACTCGGCAGACCCAGGTTCGATTCCCAGCATCCCATATGGTCCCCTGAGCACTGCCAGGAGTAATTCCTGAGTGCAGAGCCAGGAATAACCCCTGTGCATCACCAGGTGGGGCCCAAAAAGCAAAAAAAAAATGCCAAGGGCTATAGGTGGGCAGAAGGGTAGTGACTGCTTAATGGGAATGAGTTTTTCTTGAGGGAATGATACAAATGTTCCAGAGGGCTAGGAAGATGGCTCTGAGGGCTGGAGCAAATGCAGGAGCCTCCCATTCAATTCAATCCACCACAGGGATGGATGCTTGGGTGTGGCCAAGTAACAATTCCCCAAAAGTCTTGAAATTTGATACTGGTGGGGGTGGCCTGACTTTATATATATATATTTGTACATGTACTTAATGCTATTGAATTTAAACTGCGAGTGTAGCACTGGAGCACTGTCCTCCTGTTGGTCATCGATTTACTTGAGTGGGCACCAATAATGTCTCACGACAAATTGTGAGGCTTTTTGTTACTGTTTTTGGCATATGGAATACGTCACGGGGAGCTTGCCAGGCTTTGCCGTGCAGGTGAGATACTCTCCATACCTTGCTGGTCTCTCTCCTAGAGGGGTGGAGGAATCGAACCAGGGTCGGCCATGTCGGCTGTTTGCAAGGCAAACGCCTTACCTGCTGGGCTATCGCTCCAGCCCAAACTGGAAGATGACCAACTTAAATTGTGAGATGACCAGTCCTGTTGTAAAAAATTTTACCTCCATTTGAAAAAAAAAAACGGCAGGGTGAGAGAAATCTATAGTTTGGTGAGTTTGCCTGGTGTGCTGTGAGCCCCAGTTTGAGCCCAGCACTGCCCAGGGTCCGCCCAGTTTCCCCCGGAGTGATCCATCCCTGAACTTGCAGAGCCTGAGCACTGCCATGTCTGGCCCAACTCCCCCAACTCCACACCCATAAAAGGGGGAAAAAACTGAAGCCAAACCGAGATTAGAAGCTAAAGCTGTATAGACTTCGTTGCCCAATGAGAGGAAGTTTAAAAAAAAAAGTGTTTGCAAAAAAAAAAAAGGAGCAAAATTGCAGGCCCCTGGGAAACTAGCCTAGTGGCTGTGGTTTCACCTCAAAAAAGACAGGTGGGTTGGAAACTGCTGCCTTTGGGGACAAAGGCCCTGTAATACCAGAGGCCACTGCTCACCCGTGCCCCAGGACCTGGAAAAAAAATGACCATTCTGGGTCTTAGCCCCAGACCACCCTGAACCTTAGGCCATGCCTGATATTATCAACAAAGTTTCTCAAGCCCAACAATTCTAAGTATTTTAGGACCCAAGCAGGAAGCGAGTCCTGCAGCCAAGGCTCTTTTAGAAGCTGGGAAGCTGGGTCAGCAACCCTGTGGCCTCTGCTCTGGTAGCTGCTCTGCCTCAAGTGCTGATTTATTCCAGCCTGAAGATGTGGGTGCCATCATCCCCATTTTACACAAGGCTTAGCAGAGGCAGCAAGAGGCGAGGGAGCGGAACTGGAGAGATAGCACAGTGGG